TCATAAAGCTCATTATTTTTTGGGGGGTCACACCTGGAGATGCTCAGGGGTTACACCTGGCTCTGCACTTGGGAATCACTCCTGGCTGTGCTAAGGGACCATATGAGATGCCAAGGATCGAACCCAGGTAGGCTATGTGCAAGTCAAATACCCTACCCGCTGTGCTATCACTCAAGCCCCAAAGCTCATTCTTTTTTTTTTAATTTTTATTAGTGGAACACCATGAGGTAGAGTTGTAGACTTACAATTTTTTGTGCTTGGGTTTCAGTTATACAATGATCGCTCATTCTTTTTTTTTTTCTTTTTTATTAGTGAAACACCATGAGGTACAGTTGTAGATTTACAAATTTTTGTGCTTGGATCTCGGTCATACCACGATCAAATACCCATCCCTCCACCAGTGCCCATTTTCCACCACCAGGATAATATCCCTCCCCCCCCCATCCTCCCATCCCCCCATCCCCCCCTGCCACTGTGGCAGGGCATTCCCCCCTGTTCTCTCTCTCCTCCTGGGCACTGTGATCAGGATCGCTCATTCTTAAGGGGAAAGATTTTCTTCTCACCAGTTCTCTAGAGGTCAGCATGCTGTCACCTTCGGAGCATTTGGGAACATTCAGAATGGGAACGCAAAAAAGGAAAAAAATTCTGAAGGCTTGTCTTTCCATAAATGAATATGAAACACCATTACAATCACCAAGTAAAGTGATAGTTCAGCCTGATTGCTGCTAGTGGCCACTGAGTGAAATAGCAGAAAAGAATTGCCCTGTGGAAGGCAGGAACTAGTGAGTTAGTGAAAAGCAAAAGCAGAGAAAATAGGAATGCGAGCAGTGGCCTTGTGGAGTTCCCTGAACTTCTGTCTCAGTGTAGAAATGCTTCCCTGCAGTTCTGTTCCCTTGACTTCCCCAGCAGCAGGTTCTGTTTCCTTGACTTCCCTCGGACCCTCTTGTTGAACCACAGGCGCAGTCAGCCAAGATTAACTGGGCCTCAGGCCTCCTCACCACACTTGGGAGCCCCAACCCCTGCCAGGCCCCCGCAAGAAGAAAACCAGCAGAATGTTAGACAGCCAGAGACAGAATAGAGTGGAAAGCAGAGACCTTATCAGGCTTGTTTCTTGTGTGGCTTTGGCACGTGATTCAAACTTTGCAAGTCTCGGAGTCTGCCTCCTAGGGCTGAGCCTGAGAGGCAACGGCCTTGATACACTTTCTTAGACTGACGTTTCTTCATTTCTTGCCTTATTCCTATGTCTTGCTCTTTTTGTCATTGCCTATTTGATAGTAGTATCCAAACCTTTGTCTCGGTCTCCACCTTCTAAAGAATTTGGGCTTACACAGGGTTTTTTTAAAAAGCAACTTTCAGGCCAGAGCTATCGTACAGCCAGTAGGACGCTTGCCTTGTATGTGGCCAACCAGGATTCAATCCCTGGCATTTCATAGTCCCCCAAGCAATGCCAGGGTGATTCCTGAGTGTCGGAATAACCACTGAGCATTGTCAGGTGTGCTACCCTCAAAAGAAGACAACTTCCTAAGTAACTGAAATGAAACCATAAATATACAAAGCACACCATTTAGTGAAATGTTTCAGAAAGCAATAAAAACAGTGCTGGGTTCAGAGAGTATAGTGGTAGACACTTACCTTCCTGCATGCGACTAACCTGGATTCTGCCCTGGGCAACACATATGATACTCCAAGTTCTGCCCCAGTCTGTTGGGGAGGGGGGTTGGACAACTGTGTAACAATTTTGAAATTTCTGTCCTACTGGGAAATAAAATGGGGAAAAGTGCTCAAATTGTATTTAAAACATTGAAATACAGCTCCTCAGCAATGTTGAATATAAAAGAATAGAGAAAGGCATGGCAAGCTGCAGGAGGAAAGGCAGAGTTGAAACAGCGAGTCAACCCTGCCAACACATCAGTTTTAGCCCAGTGTCACCCACTTGGGACTTCTGCCCCAGATTTGGCAAGAGATTAAATTTGTGTGGGTTTCTACCACTGAATCTGCAGTGATTATTTTTTTGATGTATTTTTTAACTGCTTTTTATTCAGCCATTGATTATGCTGATTGAATTGGACATGAACTCCACGTTACTTTTTTTTAATTAAAAAATTTAATTAAATATCTGTGAGATAGACCATTACAAAACTATTCACAATTGGGTTTCAGTCATAAAATGATCCAGCACCCATCCCTCCTCCAGTGCACATCTCCTGACACCAATGTTCCCTGTTTCCCTACCACCATCCCCCAAACCCCAGCCCCCGACCCTCCTTCTATGGGAGGCACTTTCCTTATTGCTCTCTCTATCCTTTTTCTTTTGTGCATTATGATATGCAATACAGGTGCTAAGAGGTCATGGTGTTTGTTTGGGGCATTCAGTATTATTATCGGGATGGGTAAGGCTAGAATAGCTTTTCAGTTGTGTGACCTCTTTGGGGTGTGGATGTGACTGCCGAGGCTTCCGGAAGTACAGGGAGGTGGGGGGATGTAACCCATCCTAACCCCGAGAAAGCCTGGAGATTTCAGTCACAAAACTCGCATACCAGAATTTTCAGCAGAGATTATATCTTGGTGAGGTCCATCCTGAGATGGTGGAGTCAGGCTGGAGCTATGGCAGCGATTTTGTATTGTGGAAGCAAGTGGCTGCAGGGGTTCTGCTTGGGGAGGCCCCTGGACAACCTACCTCACTCCAATTTACCCCAGTCTGTTCAGCCATGCACAGGTTTGAGATTAACTGCAGCTTTTGATCTCTTTCAAAAGAGATTTACGGGTCTCTGAAACAAGGTGGGTAGTGGAGCTTGCACGATGGTGCTGGAGTTAGTTCCTAGGGGTGACTGCCAGTGCTTCCAGGAGTATTGGGAAGTGGGGGGAGCTAGCCCATCCCAACTCTAAGAAAACCTGGAGATTTCGATCATAAAACCCGCATACCTGAGTTTTCAGCCGATTTTATGTTGGTGAGGTTTGTCCTGAAACGGTGGAGTCAGGCTGGGGTATGGCGGTGATTATGGATTGTGGAAGCAAGCAGCCCCGGGGGCTCTGGTTGGGCGGGCACTAGCCCAACCCATCCCCTCCAATTTACCCCAGTCTGTTCAACCACGTGTGGGTCTGAGATTAACTGCAGCTTTTGATCTCTTTCGAGATTTATTTATGGGTCTCTGAAATAAGACCATAATTGAGCGTCTATAGCTGAGCTGGAGGTGGTTTGTGGGCGTGGCTCCCACTTACCTAACTTTGGCAGTTTAATATTTTTGTAAACTTGGCCCCAAGTTGTTGGGGTCTGGGCAATGGCACAGCGGCAGTTTGGGGATATCAGGAAGCCTGCTGATGCACTCGCCCCGCAGGTACAGGTTGACCTGCTGGCAGCACCATACCTGCTGTAGTGATTTCTTACTGCAGCTCTAGGAATGGAATCTTCCCTCAGTCTCTGGAGGTGATTCCCAAGTCCAGATGATGGCTGAGCCTTCATCCCTCACACATGGAAGAAACTGGGCCTATGAGTCACTGCTGCCTGAGAACAGGCACGGCAGACTTTGCGGTGAAAAATAAAACAGATGTATTTGAAAGAAAACATTTGTTTCAGCTGCTTCTCCCTCTAGTCCTCAGTTTTATTTTTAAAAATGAAAATGACTCCAAAAGCTACTGCTAATACTAAATCATTTACCCTTTCTGAGGTATTAATCTCGATTCCTGACTAGAGAGTACAGTGTGTATGTTAAGACTCCTTTCACACATGCACACATATACACATCATCTATACTTTCACTTTTGAATATCACTGCGGATGTTCCAAATAAAGATGGGCTAATTGGCCAGTAGAGCACAGCAATATATTCAAAGAATAATAGCTGAGGCTGGAGCAATAGCACAGCGGGTAGGGTGTTTGCCTTGCATGCAGCCGACCTGGGTTCGATCCCCAGCATCCCATATGGTCCTCGAGCACTGCCAGGAATAATTCCTGAGTGCATGAGCCAAGAGTAACCCCTGTGCATTGCCAGGTGTGACCAAAAAAGCAGCAGCAACAGCAACAATAATAAAAGCTATGACTCCAAAGTGGTTTGTTTTTAAAAATCAAAATATCTCCAAAGGTCTGCTTTGGCTTGCTATTTTTATCTTCTATATATGAGAAGTCATGCAATAACTATCTAAATTCCTGACTTGACTTAGCATAATCTCTCATTCCCTCTATCATCTCAAATGAACTGGATTTCACCTTTTTATAGCTGAGCGGTGGTAGTCACATATACCATATCTTCTGACCAGCCATCTGTCAGCCACTTAGGTTATAGCTGCTGTATCTCATGGTAACCAGAGGAGAAGTTGGGTGGGGGCAAGAAGCAGGGTAGAGGTTGATTCAATCATAGTAAAAGTTACTAGAGCTTTGGTGGTGGCTGTGGTATGGGATTGTACATTTATGAAGCTGTAATCTTAGAGAGTATGGTATGCAATAGCCAATGTTACCTCAACAACAGCAACAAAAATACAGAAGGTTCAATACTAGTTTATCTGCTAGCATTTCTAAGTAGCAGTGATAGAAACTTGCTCCTTTTGCCTCATCTTTTCAAGGAAGGTAAGCATTTTTTCATAGCAGTTCAACAACATTGAAACACCGTAGATTGTGATTGTGAAATTAACTCAGGACTTAAAAATTCTCATTGTTTTCCCCTAACAGTTTGGGAGAGCTTTTGAATTTTAAATGCCTAACTCTGATTGTGGAGCTCTTATTAGTCTTAGATCAACCCAGTGTTTATGAATTCATACTTGAAGTGTAACATCAAAATGAGCACATATATTTCTTTTACATGTGAAATTAAATGTAACTGCAAACAGAAAAGTCTCAGTTAATATTTATTTAGTAGCATCACACACAGGCGCATCGAGACTCATGTGTGCCATCAGAGAAGAGGAACTATTGATTCCCCAACACTGAAATATTCTTTAAAAAATGATTTGCTGGTGTAAAAATATTGAAGCTTCAATTGCAGAGGAATTAACTCAGTCTTGCACTTCTACCTTTGGTATGTTACAGAATTAAATGCTCTTTGAGGAGAAAGATTTTGTCCTTGCTGTGTATTCCTTGATGCTGCTGATTTTCCTGATGTGCTCTCTTGAGTTTTAGGCCTGAGAAGAGACACTGGTTTGCTGAAATATTCTATAACTGGAATTTTTACATTATTTCTTCTTATAAACAATGGAGTCTTGTGCCCAGCCTCTGAAACAGAAAAAAAAAAATAAGACCATAATAGATACACTGAATATAACTGTTGCCGTGTCTATTTTTTTTTTCTTTTTGGGTCACACCTGGCGATGCTCAGGGGTTCTCCTGGTTCATGTACTCAGGAACTACTCCTGGACATGCTCAGGGGACCATATGGGATGCTGGGGATCGAACCCGGGTGGGGCCGCGTACAAGGAAAACGCCCTACTCGCTGTGCTATCACTCCAGCCCCAACTGCTGCCCTGTCTTGATGGCAAACAAATAGAAAATGATTTTATGTTCCTAGACTAGAGAATTTGGTTGAAAACCTTCTTTGTGGATTTGGCTGTTTGTTTTTATTTGTTTGTTTGTTTGTTTGGGTCACACCCAGCAATGCTCAGGGGTTACTCCTGGCTTTGCACTCAGGAATTACTCCTGGTGGTGCTTGGGATACTGGAGATTGAACCTGGGTTAGCCGCGTGCAAGGCAAACGCCCTACCCGTTGTACTATCACTCTGGCCCGGGTTTGGATGTTTTAATGTCTCCACTAGACCTGGCAGGTCTGTCTCCAATGAGAAGACCATATTTGGAAGGTCAGAATATTGGAGTACTCTCGGAGACCTAAACTATGCTTGTTCTTGTTCTTGGAGTGTAGGCATTTTTGTTCGGTGTTGCTAGAATTACCACCCAGGGCCTCACACCTGAAAGGCAAGCATGATCTCTTGCCTGTGGTCTGACTAATCAGTGGAGCTGGCTGTCGTCTGCAGGCTAGCACTGACCACAGACCAGCAGCTAGAAACCACTGGTGTAGAGAGACCTCATGGAACTCTCATTAGTGCCCATATGATTTTCAGTGTAAAAGGAAGTGTGTGTGGGTAACAGAAGACTGATTAGGGCTAGTTCATGGACGCCACTTCAAAGCCAGGGTCTGCCTGACCCATGGAAACACTTCCAGTTGGCTCTCAACACCCCAAGACTTTCCATGTGTCTTAATTCTTGGTCCGAATTGTCACCTAGGGCTGGCTTCTGGGGGCAGATGGGATGGGGGACACACAGGATTCCTCTCTGGGTCTCATTGGATATCTATCTGTGGTGCACTACATTTCACGCTTTCCTCGGTTGGCAGTTTGAGGAGAGATCATGTAGCTCAGTGATTTGCAGGGCTCATGCTCCCCTCACTGGATAAATGGAGGGGTCGCTGTCACGCTGTCACAGGGTGGGCAGAGCCTATAGTACTGCTGCCGTGCTGTCTGGCTTGCAGAATGTGTTCGTCCCCGATGAGCCACTTGGACTTAAAAAAGTAAAATAAAATTTATGTTCGATTTCCTCCTAGGAGCAGTTCAGCAGCTGTAAGTGACTGCTGGGCATGGCTGGGCATGGCTGCCAGAGAATGCAACTCAGCACTTGTCACAAAATGTACTTAACCTTTTGATGCTTCCTTATCCTCTTCAGATTCACAAGTTGATGCTCTAAATAAATCAGAGAAAGAGAAGTTCATGGACTCAGATACATATTCCCCATCAGTGAATGTTACAAGAAAGCTGTGTGCATACGCACGCATCTTAAACACACTAAAAGGTAAAGGTAAAGGCCCTCCCGTTGATCGTCGATTTGCTCGAGCAGGCCCAGTAACGTCTCCATTGGAGACTTTTGTTGTTACTGTGTCTGGCATATCGAATACTCTTGGTAGCTTGCCGGGCTCTCCGAGAGGGGCGGAGGAATCGAACTCGGGTCGGCCATGTTGGCCGCTTGTAAGGCGAACGCCCTACCCACTGTGCTATCGCGCCACCTGCATTGACAAATAAAAACACACTATGCCAGGTTTTTATTTGTCAATGCAGGTGGCAGCATTAAGATTTTTTTCAACAAAGAAGTCATCTGCCTTTGAGTAAAACTCTATTATGTGTCTCTTAGGGGAGAAACGCCCTGATTACCTCCCAGTTTCTGATCTTCTGGAAACATGAAGGTGGAGACAGATTGCAATGCCAGATCCTCCATTGCTTTCATGCTGTGTAAGTGACGTTGTTTGCTTTGAATATCTTCTCTGAACTTAGGCTTTACCAGCTTTTAATTTTAATGGCATAACATGTTCCCTTCCCTTTTAAGTAGAATATCAGCACAGCCTCTTGCCATAATGTTATATATAAATGTATAGTTTTTCTTCTGTTATTGAAATGACGAGATTCAAGAAAATATACTAATTTCCAGTTCCCTTAATGGTTAATCTTCCCATTGACAACCCCCAGGAGTATCTCAGAGAAAATTAAATGAGCAATTAACTTTAATCTTGCATTACTTTCCACCAATAATGTGATAACTGTGGGCCCCGGGCAATAGGATAATGTCTAGGGCTTTTGTCTTGTATGTGCTCACCTGGATTTGATCTCTGTCACCTATATGGCCCCCCGAACCTGCCAGGAGTGATCCCTGAGCAGAGAGCCAGGAGTAAGCCCTGAGCACTGCCAAGTGTAGCCCAAAACTAAAAAAATTTTAAGGTGATAACCCTGTGCTACACATTTGACAATATATAATAATAATATAGTTTTGGTTTTCCTTGCTTTTCCCTTTTTAGTTGAGTTGGAAGCTCTGCAGTCCCTTTGATTTAGGGTGACTCTTCTCACTTTGCACTCATTGCAGAGTGAGCTTTTTTGCACAAAGGAAGGGCTTCAGCAAGAGGCTGCCAATGGTGAGCTGCAGGACAGCCAGCGTCAGTGCAGCTCCATGTCACTCAGAGGCGACAAACACCCCGTGCCCCAGCCTGAGCAGAGGAAAACCTGCACAGACTTAGTATTCCGCAAGATAGGAGAGAGAGAACACAAAAGGTTTGGTGCCGTCTTGCTTGTCTAACTACCTGCTCACTCGATGTCCTTCCCTGCATCTGCTCAGCGCTTTTAACTTTGCCAGTGAATTTGGGGGTGCCTTAGCTGTGGGTGGTATCCCGTTCTGTGCCGCTCTGCCAGCTGAGGCATTTCTTCGGAGATGAGTCAGCAAATTTATCTCGGACAGCTCAGCGTGGATCAGAGCCGAGATCCACTCTTTCTCTAGTTGGAGAAAGGAAAAGGCAGGAAAATTGCTGTTAATGCTAGAAGTTTAAGGTTGGTTCTGTGACCAGCACTCTGCAGTGAAGGTGGGTTTGGGGCATACGCTTGTGCGTGAGGCAAGGTTTCTGCAGAAAAGCTGGTTCCTAGGCCTGTTCCTCTGGATCTCTGATGGTGCCCAGAGTGGCTTAATCCCGGGACTGCCTGTCTCTCACTGAGACATTGTCCTGGAATGAAACTGCAAGAATATCAATTTTTTTTTATTTTCTGCCTTCTTTTTTTTTCTTTTCTTTTCTTTTTTTCTATTTTTATTTTTAAATGAATCGCCATGAGGTACAGTTACAGACTTACAAACTTTCATGCTTATGTTTCAGTCATACAATGATCGAGTACCCATTCTCTACCACCAATGATCCCAGTATTCTTCCCACCACCCCCACCCCATCTTCCCCACCCCAACCCACCTCTGTGGCAGGGCATTCCCTTTTGGGTGTTGTGGTTTGTAATGTAGGTATTGAGTGGCCATCATGTTCAGTCTATAGTCTGCTTTTAGCCCGTATCTCCCATCCCGAGCGGGTCCTCCTAGCACCCTTTACTTGGTGGTCCCTTCTCTATCTGAGCTGCCTTTTTCCCCAGCCTGTGAGGCCAGCTTCCAAACCGTGGAACAATCCTCCTGGTACTCATCTCTACTAAGGAATCTCAAATATTGACCTTAATATTCAGCCAAATGAAAAACAGGATGCCTGTGCAAAATAAGTTCAAAATGATTTCATAAAGTACAGATTGTATCCACCATTATATGAGCATATCTAGAAACACACGCTGAAGTACTTTATTAGTTCCCATTTGTGGCCTCCCACCAGCAAGTCTTATCCCTTCTGCAATGTTTTAAAGCCACAGTATTAAAGGGTGAGGTGGGTGGTGGCCATAGAGAACCTTGGAAGATTTCTTACTCCCAGGTACTTCTCAGTTGCCTCCCAAGTTGCTGTGAATTCTCGGCTTGAACATCGTTTCCCAAATGCACTCACTGAGACGACGTTGTAGTGTCCTGCCTCATATGCCCGGGGATGTGAGCTCTGTCACATCCAGGGGAACTTGTAAGCAATGCATATGGCCAGGCCTGCCTGCTAGGAGCTACTGCCTTGCTCTCTTACGGCTGTGTGAGGCTGTCACTCTTGGGGACAGCCAGGGAAGGCCCAGAGGAAGCTGCCCAGTGGCCAGGCTTCTGGTCCTGGTGGGAATGTGCCAGAGCTACTGGAACCTGGAACTTGGAAGACTGGCATCTGCCCTAGAGAGGAAGGAGACTGACTCAGGGACATCCTGAACCAGAGTGCTCAGGGGAAGGCCCAGGTGTATAGCCTCGGGGAGAAATGCAGCCAGCCCTGGACACACATGCCTATGTGTCCCCATGCAGTCACGACGTGGCACAGTAGAATTTGGCCATTGAATGAATTTGCATGCAGTTGGAATCATAACAATTACCCAAATACAGGGAAACAGATTAAAAATCGCTTGTAAAACCCTCCACAACATTGAAGCTAAAAGTGTCTTCAAAGATGACACGTCACTGACCCAACAGCGGAAAAAGAGATAAACAAATGGGACTCTCTTAAACTAAGAAGCTTCTGCACCTCAAAAGAAACAGTGACCAGAATACAAAGACAATCTACAGAATGGGAAAGGATATTCGCCCAATACCCATCAGATAAGGGGTTGATATCAAGGATATGCAAAGAACTGGTTGAACTCTACAAGAAGAAAACATCCAACCCCAGCAGAAAATGGGGCAATGAAATGAACAGAAACTTTCTCAAAAAAGAATTCCAAATGGCCAAAAGGCACATGAGAAAATGCTCTTCATCATTAATCATCAGGGAGAAGCAGATCAAAACAACAATGAGATATCATCTCACACCACAGAGAACTGGCACACATACAAAAGGACAAAAGCAACTGCGGATGTGCGGAGAAAGGGACTCTCCTTCACTGCTGGTGGGAATGCCAACTGGTTCGGTCCTTTTGGAAAACAGTATGGATGATTCTCAAAAAATTAGAAATTGAGCTCCCATTTGACCCAGCAGTACCACTTCTGGGAATGTATCCCAGAGATACAAAAAAGTATAGTAGAAATGACATCTGCAGTTATATGTACATTTCAGCACTGTTTACAATAGCCAGAATCTGGAAAAAAACCCAAGTGCCTGTGAACAGATGACTGGTTAAAGAAACTTTGGTATATCTACACAATGGAATACTATACAGCTGTTGGAAAAGATGAAGTCATGAAATTTGCATATAAGTGGATCAACATGGAGAGTGTCATGCTAAGTCAAATGAGTCAGTAAGAGAGGGACAGACATAAAAGGACTGCACTCATTTGTGGAATATAAAGTAAAGAATGAAAAAACTAACACCTAAGGATAGTAGCCGTAAGGACCAGGAGGATTACTCCACAGCTTAGAAAGCGGCCTCACATGCTGGGGGAAAGGCAGCTCAGACAGAGAAGAGAACACCAAGTAAAGGATGCTTGGAGGCCCTCTCGGGGTGGGAGATGCGGGCTGAAAGTAGACTCTAGACCAAATATAATGGCCACTTAATACCTGCACTGCAAACCACAACACCCTAAAGGAGAGAGAGAGTAAAAGGGAATGACCTGCCACAGAGGTGGAGGAGGGGATGACTGGGGGGAGGGGTACTGGAGACATTGGTGGTGGAGAGTGGGCACTGGTGGAGGGAGGGGTATTCAATCATTGTATGACTGAAATGTGAGCATGAAAGTTGTTGGGAGGATCCTCCCAGGGTGGGAGAAGCATGCTGAAAGTAGACTATAGACCAAACATGATTGTCACCCATTGTCTCTTTTGCAAACCACAACACCTAATAAGAGAGAGAGAACCAAAGGGAATGCCCTGCCACAGAGTCAGGGTGGGATGGGGAGGATGGGGGGGTGGGAGGGATACTGGAATCCGTGGTGGTGGGAAATGGGCACTGGTGGAGGGATGGGTATTTGATCATTGTATAATTGAAACCCAAGCACAAAAATGTGTAAGTCTGCAACTGTACCCCATGATGTCTCACTATTAAGAAATTTTAATAAATAAATAAATAAAAATAATAAATAAATAAATTAAGATGTAATCCACCTTGAAAAAAATAAAATGAATAAATATTGACAAAAAAAAAGAAAGCCTGTAAGTCTATAACTGTTCCTCACAGTGATTCATTAAAAAATTTTTAAAATTTTTAAAAATCGTTTGCAGATTGAGGCTATAAATGGCAGCTATTGGACAACCCAACTCAGTGCTTACAGGTGCTTGTTTTACTCTCACCTTTCGGACTTGCATGAAGCAGCCACTGTATGACATCTGCCAGAGAATCTGTGTGTAAAATGCCACAGAGCTTTGCCAGGATCTGATGGAGAGAGAAAGAAGAACAGTAAGTGAGGTTCCTTGTACCTTCTCTGGGTCCCCAGACCTGCCCCGCTGGACTGAGGATTGCAGGGAGTGGCCCTTTGCCCTGTGAGCCCTGCACGGGAGGAGGCAACCTCCAAGACAAAAAACAAAAACAAAAAAACAGTGAGTCTGTGAGTCCAGTAGATTTTGGTTTTGGTTAGCACAGCGGTAGGGCATTTGTCTTGCAAGCTGCCGGCCTGGCCGAGCTGGATTTGATTCCTCTGCCCCTCTCAGAGAGCCCGGCAAGCTACCGAGAGTATCTCGCCTGCACGGCAAAAGCCTGGCAAGCTACCTGTGATGTATTGGATATGCCAAACACAATAACAAGTCTCACAATGGAGACGTTACTGGTTTGCTCGAGCAAACCAATGAATGACGGGAGGACAGTGCTTTTTCAGGAAGAGTGATGAGCACAGAGCAGTCAGGATGAACACAGGACAGATTTTCTTGTCCAGCCAGTTTAGTATCAGTTGTCAGTCTCTGTCCAGTTAAGGGGATACTCACCCGACCCCACCCCTTGGGTCATGTGCTCTGTCAGCGTGCCCAAAACAAGAAGGCCTTCCAGAAGCCTCGGTGGCTTAGGGCTGGTCATGTGGAGGTCAGCTGACTTTCTGCAATTAGCTTTGATCTTGTTAATATTCTTCTATTTAACTTAGTTGACCTTTAAGAAATGCCATGTCCTTATATGTGACAGTTATTAGGTATCTAGCACTGTGTCAGCCCTGAAGGTAAAAGAGGAACCAAAACATAACAACAACAGGACCTTATGGAACTTCAGGGCCACTGAGTGGGAGGGGAGACAGATGATACTGAAACAGTGAATGTGAATAAAACAGATGTGGCAGGGAACAGTGAAGTGTAGCAGGACTGTGTGCCTGAGTGATGCCTTGGGCCAGGAGGTGAGGGCAGTGGACCTAAGGAGAAGAAGACACAGCAGGGTCAAGGGGAGGAGGTGAAAATAAGCGGCCTGGGAGAGGTCGGGGTAGCCTCATCGGCCCTAAAGCCTGGGTGTGCACAGCCACCTGCTCCTTCTTGATCTATAGCAGGAGCTGCCTGGCAGTGCCCTGGTCGGCTTCACTCTGGAGGCAGTGCTCAGGGGACATGCAGGCCCAGCCTTGGAAACAGACCTCCTGCGTGCAGAGCAGTGCCCAACCCACAGAGCTCCCTGGCCCGAGGCTTCACTTTCTTGTTTGTTCCAGGACATGCCCAGCAGCTCTCTGGGCTCACTCCTGGCCCTGCCGCATCAGGCCCGTGGGGCTCAGGGTTCCATATGCAGGGCCAGGAATCAAACCCAAGGCAAGCTCCTGAGCCCCTGCACTGTCTCTGGCACAACTATGCTTCAGTTTTCAAATAGTCTTATCAGTATTATTCAGGAGCAGCCCTCCCAGGGTGCTTGGAAATGTTTCGTTCCCACCACATGTGCCCATTATCTAAAACTACAATGGACATTTTGACCCTTAGTTCACTGTCACAGGTCTTAAAGTGAGATAATGTGGAAGAGAATGGCCCACGTTAGCTGATTATTACTGATTAAATGTCATTTCCAGGAATAACTGGAGAGAGAACCTTCTGGAAGCCTGATTTGACATCTTACTATTGATGGGACCAAGTGTGTAACCACAGGTAGGAAACGTTTAAAGAAGCAAATCTCTACAGATGAGAGTAAGATGAATATTGATTGGCTGAAGCTCTGTCCTCAAGCAGGTAAAGGAGCTAGAGATGGTGGAGAAGGCAAGTTGGAGGGCACTGTGGGAAGATGGTCAGGGCCAGGCTGGGGTTGCTGTTAGGCAAGCACCATGTTCATTCTGTTGACACCAAGGTTGTGTTTATGTAAGAAGCCGGAACTTCAGGGAAGATCGGAACTGAAGTGAAAATAGAAGCAGTTCTTGGATTTCAGTTTGGGGGTAGCAAAGCACTTAAGATGGCAATGGCTAAGCTTTGTTTTTGTTTATTTGGGGGGCATTTCCAGCTGAGCTCAGGGCTTACTCCGGCTCTGTGCTCAAGGATCACTCCTGGTGGGGCTTGGGGGATCTTATGTGGTGCTGGGGACCAAGCCCAGGTGGGCCGCATGCAAGGGGAGTGTCCCACCTGCTGTACTCTGAGAAATTTAAAGCTTTAAGAATGTCAGTGAGGTGCACTTTGACAAAAGCATCTGGTTTTTCTGCTTTTCTTGTTCCTGGAAGAAGCCTAAGTCACTCGGAGCCTGTCATTGCAGTTCTCCAGCTAGGCAGGTCCTATGGGCATACTCATATGCTTTTCTCAAGTTAGGGATTTAATCAGTCTGCCTCTTACTTTGATTTCCTGATCCAGATAGTTGGGTATGCAGAAAGTGTTCTGTCTGGCGGCTGCCTTGGTGCTCAGCACTTCTGAAGAGCAGGACCCAGCGGTGGAGCTTGCCTTGGGAGGCGACAGACTATGTTGGACCTTACTTTCCTCCTAAGTCAAAGGTAACATAATCAGTAACTTGCAGACATTTATCATTTCTATGAAAATTAAAAGAAAATGAATGACAAATAGTATAGTTAGATGAAATACATGCAAGAAATTAAAAAGAGTGTAGTTTTAGGTTTTTTTCTTTAAATGCACTAATCAGGGATATTGAGATGGCGCTGTGGGTTGGAGCACATGCTTTGCATTTAGGAGTTCCAGGATCAATCCCCAGCACTGCATAAAATGAGAGGCTCTCTCCTTCCTGCAGAGTCCTCTGAGCACCACAGAAATGAGGCTTGAGCCACTGATGCAGGAGTTGCCCCCGAGGACTGGGCCTCCCTCCCCTCTCACAGGCGTTCTAGATATCAAGCATTTGCACTTGAATATATGATACACACTGATTATTCATTTTTGTGAAGCTTTTTCAAACCACTGATAAGACAAGGTGATTTATAATTTTTTCTGCGGAACTTTTATAGTTGCTCCAGGTAGCAACCAACTTACAGTCTTAGGACCCGCCTAGCTGGAGAACTGCAATGACAGGCTCCGAGTGACTTCGGTTTCTTCCAGGAACAAGAAAAGCAGAAAAACCAGATGCTTTTGTCAAAGATTACATCCCAGAATGAGATTAGGTCTCCGGAATGTAACTGTCAGGGAATGGGCTGGATGTTGCGGGCCAAAACAACAACAACAAAAATATATGTACTCAGGTGGGGGGGGTGGGGGGGCATACTGGGGTTCTTGGTGGTGGAAAATGTGCACTGGTGAAGGGATGGGTGTTTGATCATTGTATGACCGACCGAGAATTAACTGAAAGGCTTTGTGACTGTTCTCACAGTGATTCAATAAAAAAAAAGAAAAGAAAAGAAAATGTGTACTCTGTAGAATAGAAATTTGCTAAGAAATGCTTACTTGCCAAAATGAAAGTTTAAGAACTTGCTGAACCTCCCATTTGACCCAGCACTACCACTCCTGGGAATATATCCCAGAGAGGCAAAATAGTCAAAGTGACATCTGCAATTGTTTGTTCATTGCAGCACTCTTTACAATAGCCAGAATCTGGAAAAAACCTGAGTGCCCGAGAACAGATGAGTGGTTAAAGAAACTTTGGTACATTTACACAATGGAGTACTGTGTAGCTGTTAGAAAAGACGAAGTCACGAAATTTACATACAAGTGGTACTACATGGAAAGGATCATGTTAAGCGAAATGACTCAGAAAGAAAGGGATAGACATAGAAAGATTGCATTCATCTGGGGAACATAAAGTAACAAAATAGGAGACTAATACCCAAGAATGGCCAAGATTAGTACCAGGAATTTTACTCCATGTCTTGGAGGGCAGCCACACATGCTAGAGGAAAAGGGAGCTCAGATAGAGAAGGGAGCACCAAATAAAGGGTGTTGGGAGGATCCTCCCAGGGTGGGAGAAGCATGCTGAAAGTAGACTATAGACCAAACATGATTGTCACCCATTGTCTCTTTTGCAAACCACAACACCTAAAAAGAGAGAGAGAACCAAAGGGAATGCCCTGCCACAGAGGCAGGGTGGGATGGGGAGGATGGGGGGTGGGAGGGATACTAGGATCCGTGGTTGTGGGAAATGGGCACTGGTGGAGGGATGGGTATTTGATCATTGTATAATTGAAACCCAAGCACAAAAATGTGTAAGTCTACAACTGTACCTCATGGTGTCTCACTAATACAAATTAAAAAAAAAAAAAGAAGAACTTGCTGAACCTAGTGCTCGGGGTCCTTGTTGAAACCCGCTGTGCCGGGTGGGTATTTGGACCCCAGTTTGCTGGAACAATAAACTTCGCTATGTTGTGATTTGCATTATCAGCTCTGTTCTCTGTCCTTGAGTGAGGGATGGTCGACCCCGGACTCTAACAACAGCATGTGAGATTTTCTGTTAAGTTAGGTAGGTCCTATTTTATGGTGAGAAAAAGACTGAGGGGTTCAGTGCCAGAAAGGAACCTCTCACCCAAGTAAGGGCAGCCTGAAGAGCAGCCAGCAGCATGTGAGTCAGAGGGTCTGATGCCTTCTGAGGACTGACATGAGGCGGGGTCAGCTTACTGCTTCCAGTCAGCATCGGGAACTTCTGCCCATCACCGTGAGGCACAACAGAGGGAAACCACATAGGAAATGAAAGCAGCTTAATTCGGGCCTCATCAGAATTATAAATTTTTGTTCCTCAACAGACCAAAAGTTACAAAAAGATGAATAGACCTTTAGAAGACAGAATTTGCAGGGTGAGGATATAACTCAGTGGTAGAGTTGTTAGTTTCATGTGTGATGCCCTGGGTTCAATCCCTAGCAACAAAAAAGAAAGGAAGGAAGGGGAGGAGGAAGGAAGGACTCAGCTAAATAGAAGGGGAGAAATATGTTTTCCTCTCTCTCATTCATGTCGCCTAGGGCCAGGGTTAGTATGGCAGAAAAGATATGGCTATACATGAAATCTGGGTGTGGTCCCCAGCATCATCAAAAAGAAGAAAAAATATTTGTAAAATGCACCAGTGACAAAAGAATGATCACTAAAACATAAATATGTAGGTATACCTGTCTCTATCACTTTATAATACAAAGACGTGGGACCCAACTTTAAAAGTAGGGGCATGGCATTTGCCTTGCACGTGGCTGACCTGGGTTCGATTCTCAGCATCCCATATGGTTCCCTGTAGGATGACATTGGTTTGTCCTTCCTCCCTTGCCATAAGGAACTCAGGTTTATTACAGTGCTCCTGAGGCACTTCAATTCCATTGTGTTTATCTGTAACCACTTCTCTGTGCTCTCTTCCCCAACCAATTAATCAGCTTTTCCCCCTAATCTGTATCTGTTCATTTGTAAGGTCAGATCCTTCTAGGACACTGAAATTGTATTGTAAGTTAATATTGCCTTTCTCCTCTCCTTATGTCTTTTGAATAGTTTACTTTAAAGCAATGCCCTTTTTGTATAAATACAGGAAGACCGTTAATATTATGCTTTGTAACTTAGGGTTTATTTGGCTTTGAATATTATTCACTCCCAGGTATCTACTTTCTCAACTTAAGCCTCAGTTGCCCTTGGTTCCTAACACCCCCAAAGCAGGGTCCTGACGAGGTATTGAATGGACCCAGGGCAAGCGGTGAGCTACCCTGGCATCGAAATGGGCCAGGCCAAAGTGCTACAATTCTTAACTATAAGTTAAGAGCTTGATCATAACAAATGTTGTCATGATCTAAAAGTAACGATGAGACTAGGACCCTGATAGAGATAGGAAAGACTATATGGCCTGAGCACTGTAGTCTGAGATCAAGATGGCCCTAGGAGAGCAGTCCTATAAGTTTAAGGTATTTCTTACTGTATCCATACAAAATGATTTATATTATGTATGCTTATATATTCATTGGACAAGGAGAGGAGAAACACACCCAGGGGATTCCGTTCTAGGGTGGGTCATCCCACTGAGAGAGTATCTGTCCTAGAAGCTGCTTTCCCCAAGGGAAAGAACTTTACCCCTATTGATTGTGACCACACCTATGTGTAATTGTTACCCCAACCCCTCATGCTTTTGGATTTTACTGTACTGTAAGAGTGGGCTGGGGGATCAGAATCCAGACTCCAGAGCAAGAGAAGAAAGGGAATCGGGTTCAGTATCCAGATTCCAGAGTCAGAAGGAGAATGAAGGGGGATCAAGGAGAATGAAATAGCATGGGGGAGGGAGAGGCAGAGGAGAGAGACAGGAGTGGATGGAGAGAGGATTGGAATAAACTGCAACAAGGCCAACCAGCCTGGCCCTCGCTCCTTCCTTTGCCTGCCCATTGCCATCGACCTCCCTGGGGTGGGGGAGCCGGCGTGAGACTACCGAACGCAGGCAGCGGACGAAATAGAGCTGCCGCTGCTGCTCTCCCCTTTTTGAGTTTACACAGTCACCCAAGCACCTCTCAACACTATTTAGAGATCTCTGGATTTGTAAGTGAAATATTGCTTTTGTCTTTTCCTGAGTGCAAAGCCAGGAGTAACCCCTGTGCATTGCCAAGTATGACCCAAAAAGAAAAAAAAATAGAATTAAAAGTAGGTAAAAGATCTGGACATATATCTCTCAGATACATGGATTGGTATGTAAATCCATGAAATGATCTCTCCTGGGAAACGCAAATGAAAACCAGGGAGGTGCATTACACACTGTAGGATAACGTCCGTCTGTGCTTTCTCCTCTGCCACAAGGAACTTAAGTTTACTGAGTAATACCCATCACAATGCTCCCAAAGAACTCCCATTTCCTCAGTATTCATCTTTAACTTCTCTGTGCTCTGCTTTCTCTACCTGTTAATCACTCATTTCCTCTAAGCAGTGACTTATAAAATGACTCGTAAAGTCAAACCCTTTAGAGATCTCTGGATTTGTATTTGTAAGTGAAATATCACTTTTGTCTTTTCCTTTTTGTCGATATGCCAAGAACAGTAACAAGTCTCAAATTTGTTGTGAGACATTACTGGTGCCCATTACTGGTGCCCACTCAAGCAAATCGATGAAGAATGGGAGGACAGTGCTATAGTGCTACAGTCTTTTCCTTATGTCCTTTGCACGGTTTACTTTAGAACAAAATCCTTTTTGTATCGTCACAGGAAGACAGTTATGCTATGATTTTATAACTTGGGAGTTAGTTGACTCTGAATAATATTTACTCCTGGGCATCTTTTTTCTTGACTTAAGCCTCAGTAGCCCTCATTCCTAGCACCCCAGAAGCAGGGTCCTGATGAGGGACTGAATGGACCCAGGGCAAGCTGTGAGCTAAAGGGACAGGTCAAGCGCCACAATACTTAATTATAAGTTAAGAGCACGGTCATGGACAAATGCTTTCATGACCCAAAGAGAAGTGACTGGACAAGGAGCCTGCTGGGGTTAGGCAGGACTAATCTGGCCTGAGGACTGTAATCTGGGATCTATAGTCAGATGTCCCCAGGAGAGCCACCCTATAAGATTAATATATCTCTTTGTCCATGCAAAATGACTAGAAGGATTATTAAGAAGTAAATCTAAGATGATTATTTATGGATTAAGGAAAAGAGAGTATGTCCTTAGATAAAAACAAGCCCTTGAGAGAATCTCCCAAGAGGAGATCTTTGTCTTAGAAGAGCTTCCCAGTGCCCTACAACAGATGACTGGTTAAAGAAACTTTGGTACGTCTACACAATGGAATACTATGTAACTGTTAGGAGAAATGAAGTCATGAAATTTGCTTATAAGTGGAATGACATGGAGAATATCATGCTAAGTGAAATGAGTCAGAGAGGGAGATACATAGGACTGCACTCATTTGTGGAGTATAGAATAACATAACATGAGGCTGACCCAAGGACAGTAGATACAAGGGCCAGGAGGATTGCCCCATAGCTGGAAACCTGCCCCAAGAGTGGAGGGGAGAAGGCAGATGGAATAGAGAAGGGATCACTAAGAAAATGATGGCTGGAGGAATCAGTCAGGATGGGAGATGTGTGCTGAAAGTAGATAATGCACCAAACATGATGACCTCTCAGTGTCTGTATTGCAAACCATAATGCCCAAAAGTAGAGAGAGAGTATGGGGAATATTGTCCACCATGGAGGTGGGGGGGATGGGAGGGGGGTTATATCGGGGATATTGGTGGCGAGGAATGTGCACTGGTGGAGGGATAGGTGTTTGATCATTGTGTGATTGTAACCCAAACATGAAAGCTTGTAACTTTCTCACAGTGATTCAATAAAATTTTTAAAAAAATCATAAACCATGCAAAGGCAAAAAAAAAAAAAAAAAGAGTTTCCCTGGAAGGAAGTTCATCTGTTCATTGTGCTATCTCACTAGGTGTACTTGCTTCCCCAATCTTTGGGTGGTTGGGGACTGAGTGTGGAGAGAGGAGCAGGGGGAACAGGAGGAGATGGGAACAGGGTGCTTGGTGAGATGGGACCAGGCGTGTGGGAGAGTGGAATAAACTGCGACTCATCACCAACCAGCCTGGTGGCTCCATTCTCTCCTTCATGCATCTGGCAGTGGCAGAAGCAGGCCAGGATGGGGAGCACGTGGCAGGAGAGAGCCCACGCCCAGCGCTCACTTATTTTTTGTATACACAGCACAGTTGCTAAACTGGGTAAAATGAAAAATATCAACCTGTGTCTGACTGTGGAGGGGACTCTGCTCTGCTGGCCGCATGCCGCAGCCATGCGACCACTCTGGAAAGCACAGTGTCCCTTCCACAGGAAACCCAGAAATCCGAGCTAAGAGCCCGTCATCACACTTCTGGGGACTTACCGAGACAAAAGACCATCCATGTCTGGGCAGACTTGCACACAGGTGTTCCTATTAGCTTTGTCAAAAACAAGGGACAGTGTCCACCGACAGGCAGGGGCAGACAGTGTCCACTGACAGGTGGCGGCAGGCAGTGTCCACCAGCAGGTGTGGACAGACAGTGTCCACCGACAGGTGGTGGGTAAACAGTGTTCACCGGCAGGTGGGGGAGGACAGTGTCCACTGGCAGATGGGGGCAGACAGTGTCCACCTGATAGGTGGTGGGTAAACAGTGTCCACTGGCAGGTGATGGGACCCCTGTCAGTCACAGACCCAGCCACAGACTGGCAACATGGATGGACAACTCAAGCAACACCCTGAGGTTAAAAAGCTAGATTGATAAGGAGATCTTGCTGAGTGATGTCACTTTACACATATTGATCAGGCTTAAGTCAGGCTACACAGAATATTGTGCAGCATGGTGTCTTTCCAGAAACACATGAAGTAGACGAAAAAATAGCAACCTAAGTTGGTAGTTGTGGGAGGCTGTTTTTACCTTTTTCTTTACCGAGGGATTCTCAGCGCAAGTTCTGAAGCACTCCTGGACTTTTTTACAGGGAGCTAAAATGTTAAGAAGAAAAATCTATTTAGGTCAGAATGAAAACTATTCTCACTGTCGTTGCTGAAATACTCATGGAACATCTGAGTTTCAGTTACATCAATTCAGAAATCTGACTATACAATGATTATAAACTTGCAATTAGAATTGCACAATAATATTCTAAAAGCTTAATTGTATAACAAAATTCTATGCCCAGGAAGAGGATATAAAGAAAAACTCTTAAGAATGGCCTTGGGTGTGGGTAAACTGGTTTTTTTAATTACATGTTTCTGTATGAGGCACAGTTTTCTTTTTCCTGTTTGTGTTATTGTTTCTTTCTTTAATAGACTCCGCACTGTTTTATAAAAAGAAAGAAAAATACAGTCTCTATTTTGTTTCTTTAAGTGAAACAATATGCTGATGGAGTCAGTTTTCTCAACTCTAACCCTTTCATAGATCCTAACTAAATCCTAAATTATTCTAAAAAGACATATATATTTGCTTTTATGCATCAATTTAAAGATATATTCTGAGGGGGTGCAGTGCTGCCAACAGGTCAATCTCAGGGTGAGCTTCAGGCTTCCTAATATCCCAAAATTGTGTCTGGCCAGACCGCAACAACTTGGGACCAAGTTTCCTGAGAAATTAAAAACCAAAGGTTAGGTGTGTGGGAGTCACACCCACAAACACGTCTGGCTCAGGTATACAAGCTCATTTTTCAGCCTTGCTTCAGAGACCCATAAATAATTCTCAAAAGAGATCAAAAAGCCACAGTTAATCTCGGACCTGCAAAAGGCTGAACAGACCAGGGTAGGTAGGAGGGGGGAGGTGGTCAGCCTGGTGCCTGCCCAAGCAGAAACCCTGGCAGCCACTTGCTTCCACAATCCAAAATTGCTGCCATGCCCATGGCCGGACTCCATCATCTCAGGACAGACCTCACCGAGGTATTAACCTGTTGAAAATTCGGGTATGTGGGTTTTCTACTGGATTCTCCAGGCTTTCTCAGGATCAGGATGGGCTACCCCCTCCCTCCCACCCCCACCACCTCCCTATACTACGGAAGCCTTGTCAGTCACATCCATACCCCAAAGCTGCCACCCAATTTAGAAAACTACTCCAGCCTTACCTTCCCGATAAAAATACTGAACACCCTGAACAAACACGATGGCCTCTTAGAACCTGTATTGCAAACCATAATGCACAAAAGGGAAAAGAGAAAGAAGAGAAGTCCCTGCCATAGAGGCAGACTCGGGGGGAGAGGAGGGGTGTTGGCAAATTGTGGGAGGGAAACGGGGGACATTGATGGTGCGAAATGTGCACTGGTGGAGGGATGGGTGCTGGGTCTTTGTGTGACTGAAACCCAATCATAAACAGCTCTGTAAGTCTATCTCATGGATATTTAATAAAAAATAAAAATAAATTTTTTAAAAAGATATTCTGAATACTAAACACTATATTTTGTTCTGGAACCATAGTTGACACGATTTTTAAAAGGATGAAAGATTTTTTTGGATATAAACCAATAGTATATATACCCAATAGTAACTGAATTCATTAGTTCTAGCTGCAGAAAAATAAGGAAAACAGTATAAAGTTACCTCCTCCAAGTAGCAAGAATAAGTTTGGGATGGCGAGCCTGTTGTTAGTGCCCCCTTCTGGGGAACAGAAACCATTTTAGCTGCTGAAAGCTTGAGTGCAAGGGGGTCTGGGGCACAAGGGGTTTGCACTGTTACTGGAATCGGGACCTTCAAGGTCACCGCAGGGAGGACTCCTGGCAGGAGAGAGGGGTCAGGAGCTGCTCGACACTGTCTCACAGTCAGAAGGTGCAGTGCCCGGGGACCCACCGTGTTGGCCGGCTGCCTATGCCACGGCGTGTCTGATGTGTGCCGGGAGGGACCAGGCGGGCACAATGAGCTCAGCCCAGTCACCAGCGCAGAGGGCCTCTCTGGATGGCAGCCCCAGCCTCTGGGCTCCCAGAACAAGAGGAACAGACACCGGAAGCCAGCAGTGTCCCTGGCCTACATGCCTCCAGCTGGGAGAGGGGGACGAAGGAGCCCTTGGAGGGATGGAGTTGGTGACAGCGTGGGGCCTTCCCCGGACCACACAGAAACTGCCCCTTCATGTCATGCATCTGCCACCTTGCACCACCCGTGCTCATGTGCCTGAAATGCTGAGTGTCAGAGTCAGTGTCACTGGGGGGAGGGGAATGCCATGGCATCTACCCATGAGGGGTGGGGTATTCGTGAACTAATCATCAGAGAAAGTTCAGTTCATATCCATAAGCTCACAGTCCTTTCTTGTGATGAGAACCTTTCATGTCTCTCAGCAGTTTTCATTGTTGGAGTACACGGAGCTTAGGTATATCAGATTGTACCCATCACAGTGCTCCCGAGTCACTCCCATTACTTTGTCAGTCGGTAACCACTTCTATGCTCTCTTCCCCAACCAATTTGTAAGGTCTCATCCTTCTTAGACACTGAAGCTGTACTGTAAGTTAATATTGCCTTTCTCCTCTCCTTATGTCTTTTGAGCAGTTTACTTTAATGCAGTGTCCTTTTGTATAGATACAGGAAGACAATTAATTAATATGCTCCGTAACTTAGGAATTGATTGGCTTTGAATGTTATTCACTCCTGGGCATCTGCCTTCTCAACTTAAGCCTCAGTTGCCCTCACTTCCTAGCACCCCAAGGGCAGGGTCCCGACGTGGGACTGGATGGAACCAGGGCAAGCCGGTAAGTTATGTGCTACCCTGGCATCGCGATGGGCCAGGCCAAGGTGCCACGATTCTTAACTATAAGTTAAGAGTTTGATCATAGGCAAATGATGTCATGATCCAAAAGTAACGACAAGACTAGGGCCCTGCTGCTAGGAATAGATAGATATCTGGCCTGAGCACTGCAGTCTGAGATCGAGATGGCCCTAGGAGAGCAATTCTATAAGCTCAAAGTATTTCTTACTGTGTCCATACAAAATAATTAATATTATGTATGCTTATATGTTGGTTGGACAAGGAGAGGAGAAACACGTCCTAGAAGCAGTTTCCTGTGTGTCCTGACTAGCTTGGATGAGACTGCTTTTTTGGAGATGTAGATTCCAAGCTCTAGCAGACTGGTCTTTGTTTTGCTAATCTAAGTGCTTGTAGTTTGTGAAAAGGTGAGGCCAGGATTACTGGCCTGCAGATGTAAGGAAACAATGTATGTTTGCCGCCTCAGTGTTCTTTCTGTAACTCCTTTTGATGACATCATTATATTGCGCCCTTTAGAGGTACTATGATCTATAAAAGGGAGATTTCAGGGCTCTCTGGGGGGACACGTGCATCAGAGAACCTGGGAAGATGGGGCTGAGGACAGAAGCTGAGAGAACAAAGGCGCACGTGCTCGAGGATTCCTGAGGCCTCCATGACATACATCTCTTCCATGTAATAAACGGCTACTAAGACCAACTAGCTTGGCCTCGTTTCCTTCCTTCACCTGACCATCGCCATCGACCTCCCTGGAGTGGGGAAATGGCAAGACCGCCGGCCGTTTTATTTTTTGTGTGTTTACACATTCATAACACAATTCAGTGTTGTTAACTGGCTGCTCAACTGCCCTTTTGGTTAATTTCGTGTCCATGTATTCGAATCAGCTGATTGTGCACTGTAGCTCACAAGCCCAGGCTGTGAGCCGTGGTCTGAGCAGATCCAGAGCAGAGAGCTGCCGAGGCACCGACCCTGGGCCCTGAGCCAGAGGAGCTCACAGGGCTCCGTGGCCTGAGAATCCACCAACTCTCCCCAGGACGTGCCCTGACCTTGTGTGAAGGACTTTCCTGCTCACCATCGGGACAAGTCTCGCATCTTATCTGCTTTTTAAGAGACAAGAACTGCACCATCTGTGCTGCCGGCACCACGAATAACAGTGACATTTATTAATATTAATGTGAATATAATTAATATAATAAACAAACACTATCCTCCCGTTGTTCATCAATTTTGCTCGAGCAGACCCAGTAAAGTCTCCATTTTGAGACTTGTTGTTACTGTGTTTGGCATATTGAATACGTCATGGGTAGCTTGCCAAGCTTTGCCACGCGGGCGAGATACTCTCAGTAGCTTGCGGGGCTCTCTGAGAGGGGCGAAGAAATCGAACCCCGCTCAGCTGGACTGACTCGCGCAAGGCAAACGCCCTACCGCTGTGCTATCGCTCCACCCATTAATATAATATTGATTTATTAATGCTATTTGAGACTAGATGAACAAAACATTTTTGCCATTATTTCACAGTCTCATGACTCCTCCACTCCCTGCGGCTTAAGAACAGTCTCATCGAGCTTTCGCTGTTCACCTGTGTGACTCACCGGAATGGGGCCGTGGGGGCACCCTCGGGCCATCTGGGGCTGGGGATGACCCCCTGCCAGGGCTTGGCGGGGCCACGGGGCTTGGCGCGCTGAGCTTGGCAGGTGGGTTCTCGTCTTCCTCTAGGTCACAGAGCTGCCTGTAGCTCCAGGTCCTGTACACGTCGTCATTCACAGCACAGATGGGGATGTTGTTCAGACCTGGTGAGGACAAGATCAGACCACAGGGTCAAGGCTTGGGCAGGGTTTGCTGCTGTCCTGTGGGCCTGCGTCTGTCCCTGGCCTGTCGTCCTTCCCCAGCCCAGAGCTGCCCTGCGATGCTGAGCGAGGAGTGGTCTGCCCGTCACAGAGCTCGTCTTTGGTCTGGCAGGTGCTGGTTCCAAACGGAAACAAAGAGGGGAGGGTGGATGCCTTAGCTGTTAGCCTTAAAGATCGAGGCTGTGGCTGGCCAGGTTCAGGGAAGACTTTACCCAATGCGGTGAGTTTCCGGGAGCCAAAAGGTCAGTAGAGCCAGACATGCAATTTAGGAACTGATTTCTTCTTGGGAAAATGTTAAAATATGTTGTGTAAGTTTCTGAGCTACGCCCAAGATAACTGCCACAAGCCCGCTGAATAGGGCTCACACCCTGATTGACTGAGAATCTGCATGCTTTGTTAATTCCCATTTTGCCCACTTCCTCATATAATCAACTATAAAAAGCTAGCTTGGCAGAAATAAATTTGGAGCTTGATCAGAGTCTTGTCTTGCTCCCATTCTTCTGTCTCTCTCTTTTTCCCACTCGCGCACCCTCTCCTGGTTATCCACGTTGACTAGTCCCATGGGTCGGGGCAGTGAGTAAAACAGTAACAAGCTCAAATCAATGGAAAATTCCCTTTCCTCTGCTATATCCGTCTTTTAAATTGGGGAAAGTATGCTCTATGTTTTGAAGTGCTTTTTAAACTGCCCGTCTCTTTTATTTTCTTCAGTTTTATGTCATATAAAGGAAAAATGTTAGTATTCAGATGTTGCAGAATGATCTGAAATGGATTATTTAAATCTGCAGAGAAGCTCCTGTGAGCATTCTGGGAAGCCGTGCTGGAAACCACCCCAGCCCCTGTGTCTAGCTCCCTCAGCTCTGTGCCAGGCTCTCTCCAGGCCTCCCCCACCCTGTGGCACCCCCAGAGTGAGGATAGCAGGAGGCACGGAGTCTCTGAGCTCCAGGTTCCGAGTTCTCTGAGTGAGAGGAGCACTGGCCTTCCCCTCAGGGCTGTCATCCTGTGTATCCACAATCCTTGGCCAGTCTGTGCTGCAGTGCCAACATAGCCACGTGCCCTGCGTGGGTCCTCCGAGGCGTGCGTGGTCAGGAGCTGACCCAGCAGGCAGGAGGCCACTTCCCTCTGGGACTGGACTCCAACAGGGTGGAGGTAGGTCCTGGGCTTGGGACTCCAGCAGGGAGTCAGGGAGGAGCGGAGGCAGGGCGGGGCCTGAGGCACACAGCCGAGGTTCCTGGCGCCATGCTTGTCTTCCAACCTCTCCAGGAGGGATCCCTGGACAGAGCCAGGAGTAAGCCCTGAGGACTATGGGGGGCGGGGGGAGGCCCCTACCCCACCCCATCCTAGAAAATTCACTTGGTTCAAGCTGACTTCCGACACTGACCACACGGGGCAGCCCCGGGCTGTGGGGCCCCAGGACCAGCTTCCTCCTGGGCTGTCTGTGTAACCAGGACTCACCTGAGCCACAATTCAGTGAGCTATAAAGCAGCTCCAAGACTCCGGGACCTCTGGGGAAGCTGCCTGGCGGCCAGCTCACCCATGACCGAGGCCCGAGGCCGCTCACCAAGTGCCCATGTCACTGACCTTTGATGTGGCAGACCCTTCGCGGGTGAGGCGTGTGCCTGACCGGGAAGATGCCCATGTTCGTGGCCTTCCTGTGGTTGCCCCGGGCCTCGATCTGCTCGGACGCCAGCTCCTGCGGCTGGTGCTTTTGGGGGGCGGTCATGGCACTCCTGGGCTCCTGGCAAAGGTGTCCACCCTGGAATCACACGGCACGTGGTCAGCGAGGTGTCTCTGCCACGTTACCTTCCCTCCCCAGGCCCGCCAGGTAAAGAGTCTCTGAGATGCATGGTCACGAGGGAAAGAAGTTCCTGCCGGAGGGAAAGTCACTACAACTTTGCTGAAGACAGCAGAGACCAGGCCTGAGTCTAAGGAGGGTGTTTGGCACTTATCTTGTACTTCCTGTCTAATGTGGATGTCTTATTCATCATAGCACTATGGGGCCAAACTCATGTTGTTCGTTGCCATGGCAGGAGTTTTCCTGGGAAGATAATCTGCAGTGTCAGAATACATCCATAGTTTAGAACCTGATCTCATGATACTTCTAGAGCACCTGTGCTTGCGTGTTTTCATGGGTTTTGATTAGTGTGTGGCGAACTAAGGAGAGGCAGGCAGGCGTGACATTGAGGGTGATGGGCAGACTCAGGAGGCCCATTTTGCTCCCCAGGTCGGGAACGAACCTGCCGATGAAGCTTCACAGCGTTTCTTCACCTCCTCATGGCACGCCGTAAACACAAAAGACATTCTAACCAAGTTCCTCACCACACAACAATACACAAGAAACATGACTGGCCCTGTTGCCAAGAAATATCTGATCTTCATGAATTTATTATTTATATTAGGTTAGATAAAATATATTTAAGTATTTTGAACTCATAAAAGACCATTGCCCAGCAATAAGGTTAATTTTCTATCATTCCTATGAGTAAAGAGGAGAGTTTTTATAGGATGAAGTCAGTGTATTCTAATTTTACCTGTTTGAGAAAGAAGCATGTGTAGCAGGCAGTTTGAGAATGGATAGGACTCTGAATTTGGAACTTAAAAATGAATTTATGGTCCCAACCTTTCCAATAAGAAGCAAAGTGATCCTGGGTGAACTGCTTTGTCTTTATATTGGGGTCTGCTCATCTGGGAGTAAGTGGCATGATTTAGCTCTCAACTGAAATATCCGGCTCTTCTGCAATTTTTGTGTCTTCCCACACCAAGAATTTTGTGAAGAATAAATTTTTTATCCCACAAGCAGAATATTTTATTTACATGATCACCTCAAATCTAAGTGTTTCCTTTAGAAAGTAATACCCGATAAATTTAAAAATAGACGTGTTTGATTTCCATGCAGTTTGAAAAGAAGATAGATGCAAGATTCATTAACTCGAGCATAATTGACACTTTTTAAAATATGATCAGGATGGATTTTACCTGAGGACCGTTTTGAAAAAGGAGGATGTGCTTGACAGGAATTCCCCAGGCCCGAGTCTGTGTGAGCTGTGGTGAGGACCCTCAGCTCCTGGCGCTGGGCTGGGCGTCTGTGAGACGCAGGAGTAGCCTCCCGGCCAACACGTCCTGTAGACCAAACTCCCTTCCCCGTGTCTCCCGCTCTTGCTTCAGGGACTCTCTGTGCCCCCGGACTAAGGTACACTCTGCAGCTTAGCAACTGGGAGCCTTCCTTCAGGAATCTGAGTTCTAGATCCTCCCACCGGCCTTCCCTTCCGAGTTCTATTTTCTGTCAACTGTGGTAGCTGTTCTGGACAGAATCAACTCACATGCAAAAGACAGAGAATGCAGAAGGCAGAAGAGAGCAATGTCAGTCACCTTGACCGTTCTTCCCCCAGGCCTCCTCCAAGTATGGATGGCTGATGTGTGAACACCACTCGGAGGATGTCTCAGTGGGCTCTGCATGCTTTGCATGCAGGAGGCCTGGGTTCGACTCCCCCAGCACAGCGTGGACCCCAAGCACAGGAAGTGCCCGAGTGGCCCCCGGACCAAAGGAAGATAAGCCCTTTGCCCCAGTTGTGAGAGGGCTGTACCGTGTATGAAAATTCAGCAGCCCGGAAGGAAAATGGAAATGCTGACTTGTGTGTTTTGCTTTGGGGTCCCCAAACTGTGCTCAGCTGGATCTTAGCTAAGACCACCCCAGCGGTACTGGTGGTCTCCAGGGCTGCACCTGGTAATGCCCAGGGTGAAGCCCAGGAATCCTGACCCAGGCACAGGCCCGGCACATGCTCGTTACGGCCTGGTCTCCTAGGCAGGAAACGCTGAGTAGAATCCATAACAAGGTTCTCTTCCCTCCAAAAAGCTCACATTCTCTCTGGAGCATGCTGTTCTTTCCTCTGTTCTCAGATTTCCTAAGTGAAGCTATTTTACTCTAAAACAAAATAGCCAGTAGAAACACTGAGTAATACAGATGCCTGAAAAATGAAAGGGTAGACTGAGGCACACCTGTACATACAGACACTTGCACACAAACATGACTCAGCATGGTGACTCCACATCTACATACAGATACTCACACACGTACATGACCCAGCATGGTCACTCCACGTGGACATACAGGTTCTCACACACATTCACATGGACATACAGATACATCCATGTGCTCATTGCCTTGAGTCCTCAATAATATGTGAGTGCTTCCCAATATTTTCTTTTGAGTGCATGCAATTTTAAATATCTAAACTACAATCACTGAAAGAAGTGAGCTATTTCTGATACTGGATGGATGTTTCAAATACTAACTTAAAGCAATGCCAGAGGGAAGTTGGATTTTCTTTCAATAGTTAAATGCACATATACCTGCATGCCTGCAACTTATGCTTGACTTATCCACACTATTCTCATCTGTTGGAGGAGCAGGCTTTAAAGGATTCTACCATGCATGTTGGCTTCTGCACTTGTGTCAGTCAGGAACCTGCTTTACACAGCTCGTGAAGGGGCTGGAAATGGCAGTTAATTCACCAGGACAGGCATGTTCCTTCTCCCCCTCAAGGGCTCAACAGCTCTGGGCTCAACAGCTCTGGGCCTCAGGGACCAACCCCTCATCCCCAGGGTGGGTCCTGAGCCCCAACCTGCAGGGGGCTGCCTTGTTCTCTCCAGCCCATGTGAGGGCAGGCAGGCCAGAGCAGATGGGTGGAGGCCACTCGTACTTGGGTGTGCGCCAGAGCCTTCCCAGGCTGTGGCCAGGTGTCACTCAGGTCCAGCTCACTGTGGGACATGTAGCTTTCACACAAAGCCCATCCAGGCTCCTGGTGCTTACAAAGAGGGAGAGGCCCGTGTTGTGGCAACAGGAGCCTCCGCCCTGTGCTGCCTTTGTGCCTGTGCAATATAGCTTCTCTCCAGAGAGCGCCAGGCGCACCCTCCCCTCCCTTCCGCTCCCTTCCTGAGGTCCAGGCACCTTTCTGCCTCAGATATTGGGTCATTCGCAGAAATTCTGTGGGAATCATGGACAGCAGTGACTGTGGGGTTCCGCCCAGGCAGTCACCGCCTCTCTGCCCCAGTGACAGAGAGGTGCGGGACACTATTTCCAGCAAAGATAGAAAATAGGTGGACAGATTTCTTGGACAGCACCCTTGAAGCTGTGAATAACAATTGGTGATTTTTCAAGTGTGGTTTGAGGTCATGTCAAGTAGCAAACTCCAGAGAGATTTGAGAATGGTTAGGAACTGAATGGACCTTCCAAATTCACCTGGGGGAGCCCTAGCCCCCAAGTGACTGTCCTCGGAGATGTGCCTTTCAGGGGACAGGTGAAGTCCAGAGCAGTAAGTGCAGGCCCTGAGCCCACAGGACTGACATCCTTCTGAGTAGGAAGATGCAGCACCCTCTGCTCCGTGGCAGAAGAAATGTCCCCTGAGAACAGCAGGCCAGAAAAGAGGCTTCCAAGAGCAGCATGACCAGTACTTCCTTCTCAGGCTTGCAACCTCCAAGGCTGGGGAAAGAGAAAAGTCTGGTTTTCCATGACTGGCCAGAGGCGATGAAGTGAGGGACCAAGCAAGCACCTGAGTGTCCAGGCTCAGGCGTGAGCAGTGTAGCTGTGCTTGGGAGCTGAGCAGGCCTCCCTGTTTTAGCACCGATTTTGCATCATTATAAAGATGCCACCATGTCAGATTAACATGAGAAGGCAACGTAAATAATACGTATGAAAAGCCAAGGTGCTAAGAGACCCCACCAGTGCTAAGAGATCACCCTGGCTTCCCTGTTCCCTGCTTCTTTGCTAATTTTGGAACATGTATGCAGAGCTCAGCCAAGAACTGTGATGAGTATGGATGTGGGACTTTGATTTTCAGATGCCCAGCAGAAGCCCTGGTGTGTGATGGGGGATTCATGTCCCTTGTAGTTCCTCCACGTGTGGTGGACACTCTGTCGGGTCCCTGCCCCTGGTCACAGGGCCACCACAAGCATGGTGGGCATTGCCATGGTCATTGTGCTCAAGGCAATGGTGAAAAAATTTTTGCAGGAGTCTTTGCCATGCAGTGGAGGTTACTTGCATCCTCCCCGTCGTGTGAGGTGGCCAGGGAACGCTGACACAGCACAGCAAACGCGCCAGTGGCCATTTGCAGGAGGGACGGTGAATGTCCTCATGAGCCCTAGTCACCTCCCTCAGACACGTCCAGCTGTTTCACACATGTGCTCTCTGCTGCTGCAACAACTCCAGCAGGGCTAGAATGTTTCCCTAGGCAAGGGCTGTAGCTCAGGGGGAGAGTGCTTGCTGTGGTGTGAGGGGGAGGGTCCAATCCCACCTCACGGTTCCCAGGCACTGCCAGGAGCAACTCCTGAGCACAGCTGAGTATGGCCAAAAAGCAAAAAATAAGAGTTTTCCTGTTTTTCTGCAAAACTCTGTAACATGTTTAATCAGTTGGGGCTGACACTTCTGATGTCCTAATGTTTGTTCTAAATGTTTGCACTGGCTTCTTTTAAATGGATCAGAAGTTGTATTAAGAATAAGATCAGATGAGGGGCTGGAGCAATAGCACAGCGGGTAGGGCGTTTGCCTTGTACACGGCTGACCCGGGTTCGATTCCCAGCATCCCATATGGTCCCCTGAGCACCGCCAGGAGTAATTCCTGAGTGCAGAGCCAGGAGTAACCCCTGTGTATTGCCGGGTGTGACCCAAAAAGCAAAATAAATATATAAGATCAGATGAGTGTTAAAAGTAGGTAAAGGTATATTTTT